ATGCAGTGGCTGTTCCAGCCTATGCAGAGTTCCAGCCTAGAGGGCTGGGGATTGGAGTTTTTTTCTTCATTGATTTGTCTGCTTTTGGATTTTGAGGAGCTTTTTGTTCTTGTTCTCCTTTGCATTTCCAATATATTTCTATTTGTTTATTGATTGTGTGCCAGAGAAGGAAAATGAATGTACTTAGGCAGTTGTCATGGTTTACGAAGGTACATTAAGACATGATTTCCCTACGTTATCTTATCTGTAGTGCTTGTTTGAGAACCGTTTTAGAAACACAGATAAGTAGCCCTTCAGTCTTAAAAACAAAAAAAACCCCCAAACCCAAAAAACCCCACCCAAAACAACAACCACACAAAAATCTAAACCCCTCAGAAAACAAAACCTAAGGTAGCCTTTTATCTGTTCAGAAAGAAGCTAATAGTCTATATTTTAAGGTGAAGAAAAAAAAAGTTGAGTGCTGCGTTATCATGAGGTACACTTGTTAGAAAAAAAAAAAGTCTATTAATTTGGCTTTACAGTCTCCTGTTTCATTTTTTTCATGTCACAAAAATTTCTCATTGGTACATGCTTGTGGCAATCTTGCTTTTGCCTTTCAAGATGTGTGTTGTTCTGTTTTTTCCTTTAAGCATCTTCAGCTTTCTGCTAAGCATCCTAGTTTATATGAGTATTTGTGTACCTTCTGGTTTCTGTTGAGCAGACTCTTGAAGAAAGAGCAAACAAAGGCAACAAGTCAGTCTGCAAGATACTGTGTTTATATTTGCCATGCTCATTCTTGGGCATCAGCAAAATTTGATACGTGTTTCTGTTGTTGTTGCATATAAGGGAGAAAAATCTGACAAGTGAAATGAGACTTGCAAGGATGACCTAGGCTATAAATGAGTTTCATACAACTTTGAATATATGTGCTTTCCTAAAAACCCTGTGACAACGTCTAGGCGATTACACTTTATGAAAGTTATCTGCAGATTTTATAGTCTTGTTGGGTAGTTTTCCTGTCTCTGAGCCAGAGACGATACAACAGACTTGAAAAAGTTACAGTAATGTAATTGGATCCCAGACTTGACCGACTTTGTGTTTGTGTGGCATAGTTAGACTTTTACCTTTCACCAGTTAATAGACGGTTGCCTGCAGTGAAACAATAGCTGCTCTTAGGAGACATTCATATGCATGTCTTATGTTGTTGTTTATGTTTTTTTTTCCAAATTCAGATTCATCATAGCTTCAAATGGAGGGTTCTTAATTTCAAAAAAATCAATGTTTTAAAACTCTCATATGCTGAAAAGTGGTTCATTAGTAGTTACTGGGCAAGACTCTCTTCCTCTTTGCTTCTTTATCTAGATTTTGTGGGATTTTCACTTGTCTGCCTTTTCTTTCAAAATTAAATGGCAGCGCAACTACATGGCTGCCCTTCTGATATAGGGCCATTTAGCAGCATGTCCACCAGACATGTATTTGTTCTAACAGCAGCTCTGTAGGAGGCTGAAATGACAAAACTGGTATAGTTCTTTTTTAGAAGTCCTTGTGGAACTGCTGGGAAGCAGTGAAATCTAAACCAGTTCATACATACAGACATGCGTGTGTAGGGACACAGAGCATCAGTCTACAGTTGGTGAACTGTATAGAGATGTTCTTTCCCCTTACCTGCTGCTCAGTTTGTACGTTGATACAATGAGGGCTTTCTTCTAAAGACAGTGCAAAGCCATTTTAGAATAAAGCTATGTAGAGCTCTGCTCTTGCATGCAGCTGTAGATTTGCTGTAGTAAGGAAGTAGCATCAACATTCAAGTTCTGTTGGAAATGAATATGTGAAAGAGGAAAGATAGCTTTTTGGGGGAATACGGATCTGGTACTAGCACCAATAGAAATGGTGTAACACAAAAGTGAAAACACAGTATTTTTAAATAGCTTACTCTGAAACCTACTTGTACAGCTTGCAAGTAATAAATAAAATGCCAGCAAAGTCAATTGAAATGGTAGATATTGCAACCAACATTTCTGGTTGTAATACCTGGATTTTAATTACGATATGGCCTCCTTCTAGAGCTAGTAGCAAGTCCAAATTTACTTGCTGTGTTGGGTATCTGTGGTGGAGTTTGCATTTTCAGGATATTTCCTGACTGCAGAGAAGTGTTCATACCCTGAGATGTAAATGAATTCCCATTAGAGTTGCTGTATTCCAATTAGAGTTAATTATATGGTGCCCTAAATTACCCTGGCATTCTGTAGATTTCTGAGAAGATGGGTCAGAATGTAATAATGTTAACAATCTGAAAAGCTACCAGAGAGGTAGAAAATGAAGGGCTTGCATAGAAAAGGAAGACGCTGTTAATTCACTTTGACTTACACTAACCTTAATTTCATTTTTCTTTTTATCCTCTTGCACATGTAGTTTTATTTTTCTCTGACCACATGTATTTGGTTATACTCTTCTACTCTTATTTTTGCCATTTGACTGTTTATATTATAGGAAGCAGAATAGTAGTAGGTACATTCTGTTTCTTTTGGAACAAAAGTAGTACAGATAAAAAATGCCTGTCTCTTCCTTGGTATTTTGCCAATGTTGTGGTCTATGTGGAGGTCTGTCTTTCTTCATTAAATCAGTTTAACCTCTGCTTTAGGTATAACAATACAGTGGAAAATATCTTCTAAAAGGTTATTGAATGAATGTGGACTTGTGTCCCAATCTCAAGCATAAATAATAAAGTGAGTTATTGTTTCTCATTCTGTTGACTTTTCCTATCCGTGGAACTAATTTACCTCATTCTTCCAGAATGTTGGAAGAAGCATGTTTTTCTGACAGCCATGATATGCAAGACCCATGCTTCAGTTTTCAATGGGATGGAACATTACCTTCATTGTTAAAACACATAAGAGATGGGGAGAGAGAGCACACAAGAAGAAATGAAATTTAAACCTGAAGTTGTGTAGATAATCATGATGTATAGCTGCTTTATGAAGCAGATTTAAACAGTGCAAGATGATGCTGGTGGTCCAGTTCCAGTGTTTTTCCCCTTTCAATTGACAGGCTATAATCCCTGTATAATTATGGAAATTCTTTCACCTGGTTTCTGTGCAGGAAATACAGTTCTTTCCTGAAGTTGTAATGCTTGTCTGAAAGTGTTTTCAGATTAATTCCATGAAGTCAATTGTTTTGAAAACTGGCTGGACTTTGCAATTATAGTAGAGGAACTTCTTGGTGTAGCTCGAGGTTTCTTGTATCTCATCACTTATTAATAATTACAGTGTTAGAATTATTAATAATTATTAAGGGTTAACCGCAATATTGGGGTACTAGCATATGAACACCAAGGAAGGTCTATGAGTAGCAAATACAAAATGTATTTGGGTAGTCCAGCATTATAATTATAAATTTTCCTACACCAGTTTTTTGATGTAATTTTTTTTTTTTTTAATTAAAAGTACTGTTTGGCTTTTGAAGAGGTACTTTTCCTTTGGTACTTTTGAAGTTTATGGAGCTATATTCATTAATACAGCAATATTTCAGTTGCCCTCACCCATACACATTCACTTCACATAATTAATGAGTTAGTGGTACATCTGTATCTAGTGTCAAGTCTATTACAGTCCAAAAAAGTACTTCTGTATATCCTAAAAGGTAGGGTTCTTATGCGTGTGTTTGAACTATATGGGGGAGGAAACAATTGAAGTTCATGATACATTTGCAAAATAATATAAAATATTTTACTGCAGTGGTTGGTACTTTTCTCTCATATGTGTAACTCATCAAGAGCAGGAATTTGCAGGTAAAAAAAAAGTGGGACACTTGACATACAGCAGTAGTGAAGAGTGTTGGAATCGTGATGTTTATGCGTGTATCTGTAATCAAGTTGCTAGCTGACTTTCTGATGCTTTTTAATTGCTCCTTTATGAACAGATGATTCCATAGCTGTGATATGGCTAACAAACATTTTCTTTTACAGTGAGAGACTGACCAGTAGATTTTTGTTGCATATGAACCAATGCCCTTAGTCAGTATGGTGTTTTTATGTTTTGGTGTGTGTGGTGGTGTTTGTTTTCTAACCACAATAAATGGAAGCCTAGACTAAACTGTTTATTTTAGCGTAGTGCATTCCGTTTCCTATCAACAAAACGACAATGTTGCTGTGTGACAGGAAAGAAGCGTTTTTTGACTATTTTTGAAAGTTGAGGTCATCGTAGCTGTGGTTTGCTTAGCTTCTACAAATGTGATGTTATGAACGTTTAAAAATAGTAGCTCAATATCTGACACTTCTGGTGTGATGAAAAAATGAAAGAATACGGTGTAACAGAACACTACAGTTTTTTAAAACAAAGAGAGCTTTTCTTTTGGTATTGCCACAAACAGCTTTTCAGCTGTCATAACAGGAAAATGGTGAAAAGAATTTATTCCTTTTATAGATTCAGCACGCTATTAACAGTATTAGTTTTCATTAGTAACCTGCTTCTGTCACTCTAGGAAAACATTAAAGATATTTGAAATCTTGTGTTTTTCTGATTTACCTTCCTCTAAACATCCTGGGTATACATCTGTGTATCTCCTAATAACACTCTTGTTCTGGCAAATGTTAACTAATAATGTCTGTTTAGTGTCATGTTTGCAGCTTTGCTGGATCAGAACTTTTTTTCCTCACTAACAAAAGTGAACCAAATAGCTCTTGTAGTCAGCTTTGAGATATTTTTGCCCGCTGCTTCCCCATCCTGAAAAAAAAAGTTGGAATTTAGTTTTGGGCATGAGAATAAGGTAGTTTTTCAGTTATGACCTATGGCCAAAGGAGGGGGCAGTACGGGGAGGAGGGGCAAATCCTAATGTTCGTTTTGTCTTTCGTTTTGCACACATGTAGTTTCACTAGTAGGTTTGGCATCTGTAGATTTTCTGTATTTGTTTAGCACGTGTTAATTGTCATAGCACATCTGTGTAACATTCTTGGTTTTATTCCCTCGTGTCTTTAAAGCTGGAGTGCCTAATGCAGTTAGTAAGAGCTGGAGCTTCTGTAAATGCCAGTACAACACGTTTTGCTCAAACACCAGCCCATATTGCTGCTTTTGGAGGACATCCACAGTGCCTGAATTGGTTGATTCAAGTGGGGGCCAACATAAACAAACAGGTATGGATTCACTCATATTTCATGTCTGCATATAGTTTTGGAAGGAATGTTTTGATCTGTTTTTACTACATGTATGATCCTTATGTTCACATACAGATACATTATTTTTAACATCAGCTGAAGTCAGGTGACTTAATTATAATTTTTCTTAATAGTAGTGCTAGGACTAATAGATGTCCTTTAAGCCACTAAAGGTTTAGGGAACATTTGTTTTAGGAATTGACATCTTGCTACTTATTGAACAAAATGGTATGCTGCTCTGGTGTTGGCAGCATTAGCAAATACTCTAATATTAGAATACTTCTTTGGGAGAAAGCAAAAAGACTAGTGAGGAACATCTTAGTTATTTAATATGTTAAGAATTGAAAAATTCACCATTGCATACAGAACCATGAGACCTTTGTAGTACTTCATGATTTAGTCATACATCTTAGTAGTAAGATCTGCCACAGTTTATTTTAAGGTGCATCTGGTTTCATGCTCTTTTCCGTTTTAGATTATTTCCAAAACTTTTCTAGTAACTTCCTGCAAATAGATCAGAAGCACATACTTTACTAACAAAGAATGAATGGGTGATTATTATTTTTTTTTAATTTTCCACTACTTTTACTGTGAATATGGATAATGATTTATTTAGTAGCAGAGAGTGCATTAATATAGCAAAATTCTGTAAAGTGCTGTTGTACTCTGGTACAGAAACAGAATCGAGTGCTTAAAACTACCATGCTTTTGGAGCAAATGTTTGCAGTACTGAATGGATCTATTGTGTACGCTGGGCATACATAATGTGTGCCTTTATAACAGTACTCAAAATTACGATTTATAATATTCTATGAGAGTAATTAATACACCACATATGCATTTACTAAAAGCTGTAGTATAGCACAGCATCTGTAAAATGTCTGGTCTGTTAAATTGTGCATCATATTTTTTCTTAAAATACTTAATGGCCAGACTGTTCTATATGCAGTAGATTTAAGCTAAGTCTGCTGAAGAACTTAAACATTTGCATTTCTAGAGTTTGGTTCTTTTTTTTTTTTAAGCTATGCAAAAATAAGAAATGGGGAAGTTTGTGTTGAGTTTTCAGAAAAGAAGGCTGGTGCATTGAGAACAGCTGTGAGACACCAGGAGAATTGTAGAAACAATGAAGGTGACTGGATGCAGAGGCTATAGATCGCATCTTCTCCTTGATACCAGACAAAAGTAACTTATGCAATAAGTTATTGCTGCATAGTGGTAGAATCTTCAGAAGAGAAAATACAAGAACTATAAATTCATCTGGAGACCAGGTAAGAATGTAAAGAAACGGTGATTAGAGAGGAAACATGGCATGCACAGAATAAAGATGTACAAATATGAGAAGAGAAGAATGAATGAAAATGAATGAATGAGAAGAATGAAAGTTTCAACTATGAGGATAAAGAGAAGAACTGACCAGTGAGGTTGAAATGGAGTTGAAGAACCAGCTTGCTGTCCTGGAACGTGAAGGGGGGGAAAAAAATCACATCTAGTGAGTAAGGTTATAGGAAAGAAGAAATTAGCAGCTAGGAAAGAAGAAAGTAGCAGCTAGCCCCCAAAAGAAGAGGAGAAGAGTGCAGAGAGATCTCTCCATGGGCTGAGGGCAACATGCAGATGACTGTAAAGGAAAGCAGAAGGCAGTATGATGCACAGGTAAAAGTAGACAGCTTAAAGAAGTTGCCTAGGCTAGCCAGTGACTCAGGAGTCATTATTTTGATGGCATGTCACCTGAGCAAAGCCAAATAATAGAGCTGTGGTCATCCACAGGAGGAAGAAGACTGTGGTTCTCAAGTTTTCAAATGAGATAGTGGTGATAGTATCCTATAGACCTCTGAGTGTAGATTTAGGTATTGACAGGCAAAGGACAGCAGTAGAGATAGTTCTGAGAGCTGATGCTGTGGAAGCCTTGTATGTTGTTAATGGTAGGCTCAAGTTACGCGTGAATGTAATAGCGTTTTTTTGCCCCTACAAAATACTAGTTGAACATACAGGAAGAGGTATTTTAGATTTGGTTCAATGACAAAATAAGAAGATAGCTCTGGTTAATTAAAATGGTAGTAAATACAGAGAACCAAAGTTAAGTTACTTGTTCGGATACAACTGGTCAGTTGCACTGTTTTCACATGCATGAGCACTGAGAGCTAGTCAGTGTACCTTGGTGACACCTATAGCAGCAAACTTATCCCACAGATACGTGGAATGTTTCATACATGGCTATGTAAAGCATAGTGCATGCTTTGCTCTCCCCAGTTCCTTCCAGCTGTTTATTGAACTGCAGTCAAATTCTACTATTCTTGTTTGATTTGAACTGCTTAATAAATGATCTTAGTTCCTTATTTAACTTCCAAGCACTTTCAGATGATCACCTAGGGCTTCCACCCACACTTTTAAGCTTTTGGAGCACTATTTCCTGATGTGTATTTTGTTTATTCCTTCCAGCTCGCTGACTGATGCTGTACTTCAGACAGACATAGTCACTGGCTAATGCTTGTGTGAGGACAAGTGTTCCATGGACACTGGATACAAAACACATGCTGAGAAAGATCTGGGAATACTTGATATTTAAACTAGTAAAACTTTCCTTCCAAACTGACTCCTGGTCACTGGCTACAGACTAACCCATCACCTCTGGAAAAAGAAAAGGATAGCTTCTGAAAAAGGAATCCACTCGAGTCTCTCAGTCTTAACGTAAACCTCCGGTACTCAGTAGAATTTGCATGCACGCTTTCTCATATCTGCCCTGAGGTATTGTATTGTAGCCCATGCCGCCTGCCCTGAAGTTTAGGAAAACTTGAAAATGTTATTTCAATGCTGGTGACAGTTGCCCGGGACATTTCTCAGGCAGCAGCAATGAAGGACAAAGGCTGAAAACTGCTTGTCCCAGCTGTACCTTGCTCCCCAAATAAGTTCTGTGAGTATATCCATATATCCTGCGATGCCCAGCCCTCTTAACTAACTGTTATGTGCTGGCTAGAACCATCTGTGTCTCTTTATGATCAGTGGGCAGTTCTTCACTCCCAGGATCACCATACAAATCCACAGGAGAGAGCTAATGTGTCAAGCAGTGAAAGTCCTGTTACTTTTTTTTTTCTTCAGTGGGCAGTGCCTGCTAATGTTTCTTAATAATGTGACTGAAGACCTGCACTCCTCTATCTGCCTGCTCTAGTTCACTGTGACAGCGCAAAGTACTTTTTGATTAAAATGCCTGTTACTTCATTGAAATATACTTTCCCTCTAGCATCAGCCTATTAAACATTCTGTTGTATGTTGCTTGTTTTGATTGGCCAAGAAAACCAGTTTTGTGTGGCCTGGCTTAAAGAAAAGGGGTAAGAAACACTGCATCCTTACAGGTGATGTTAACTTACCTTTCATCCAGCCAGTCACCATCATGTGGCAGTGATGGCAAATAGATTTAGGAGGGTTAGACTGCTCGTGCTAGCAAGAACTGTAAACACACTGGTATCCTTGGTGGGGAGGAAGAAAACACTCATTCCTTTGGTATGTGCAGTTTTGTATTTTAAACAATAATTTGGGCTAAATCCAGATAAAGTATTCCATCAGTTCTCATCTGTACTCAGAATTGAGAACAAGAAACTATCATGAGGTCAAAGCATTTTTAGCAAAGAACGTGGAAAAAAATACTCAGCATTTTCCAGCTTCTACTTTATGGCTTCAGAAAGGGTAGGGTGCTGGGTCTGAGAAATCTGAACAGCTTTTGGAAATGTGATCAGCTGATAGAACTGGAAATTCAGTCGAGTTAAGGAATGGAGTTAGTTCATATTTTTTGCCAGGTAAAATAGTGCTTCTATGTCTTAGTAAGATACCTATACTAGTGCTTGCTTAGAGTTGCAGTTTAACCTTGGTAGGCACCTAAGCACCATAAAGCTGCTTGCTCATTCCCTCCCCCAGAGGGTTGAGAGAGAGAATCAGAAGAGAAAAGGGAGAAAACTCGTGGGTTTAATAGGTAAAAAGGGAAACAAAAGAAAATAGAGTGATTATAAGAAAATTTTATAAACTCCACACCACAATCAAAAAATCTGATGACAGTTGCTCAACACAAGCTGATGGATGCTTAGCCAGTCCCCAAGTAATGACAGCCCTGGCAAACGCCCCCATCTCCCACCACTTGCTGAGTATGATGGCATATGGTAAGGGATATCCCTCTGGTCAGTGTGAGTCAGTGGTCCCAGCTGTGTCACCTCACAGCTTCTTGTGTGTCCCCCCCCCAAGCCCACTTCTAGGTAAAACGTTGTATTGTCAACGCTCTTTTGTCCACAAATCTAGAACACAGCACCATACCAGCTACTGTGAAGAAAATTAACTCTATCCCAGCCAAAAACCTGTACATGTAGTTGAAAGCTTTCAGTGTAAATGTGCCTGGGGGCTTTTTGTTTTAAAAAGAAATATTTACAGGTAAGTTAATATCACTCACTGGTACCCCTTTCATTAAGGAAAAAAAAAAGTAAATTTAATCATATCCAGGAACTTGAAATAAAAAATGGGAAATCTGTTCTAAGTTCAACTGGAAGATCCTAAATCCAACATAAATTTGGGTCTAAAAAAAAACAGGAAGAGGGGAAAATGGGGTAAAAAATTACTTTAGACTGAATTGAAAAAATAACCACATCTAAAAGAGGCCTGGTAATAAGCACAAAGTTTGAAAAAAATATTTAATCAGTAGAGGAAATATCTTTTCAGATTGAGCAGCATAGTGAGGAAGTGCAACTTGAATAATCAAGCTGAGATAGATTTACTGAGAAAATTCAAGCCAAAAACTCAAAAGACTCTTCGGTTGCATAAATTAGAAAAGGAAGGAAGCGAGATACTTACTTACTCAGTAAAGTGAAATAGATCTTAACGGTTATCTAGTCATGACCCCAAGAAAGAGAAGACTGTCATTGTCTTTACAAAAGGACAGTCATGCTCCTCCAAGGGAAAGGAAGAAGATGTTTGACAGTGGCAGTGAATTGCAAAAAATAAAAGTGCCTATGATGTCTCATGATTCTCTTTGTCATCTCTTCAGAAGCACTGTACACAAAATCCTTAGTCTTTGCATAAACAAATAAACTTGTGTTATTTTGAATGCTAAATTAATAAAACTTAGTTGATCTTTCTGCTCTATTTACAGTGTGACTTCTGGATTGTGAGACAAGTTTGGGCTGTTAGCGCAGTGTTAGATCAGAAGGGTAAATAGGACCCTGAAAAGTTCTGCTGTAGATATGAAAGGCCATTACAAGTTATTGATATTTCCCTTCCTGGAGTGTTATTATAAAAGGGATTATGTCAGACAGAAGCACGTATGAGAACTGTGGACAATGATAAGGATTATGAGGTATTGTCAGGGATAATTAGGAATTTGTAGAGCCCCTCAAAATAAAGTAATTAACTTTGTTCCACATAGCTAAAAAAGAGATAAGAAAGAGGTGTCTTATGCATGACAATGTGCTATCAATCTAGACCCCAAACTGCTCTCGGAAGCATCTTGGAAAAGCCTTGTTATATTGCTTTTACTCTTTGGTTACATCCACTCCAGTTGTTGAATTGAAATAGGATTGTTCTGAGGCTCATAGACTACTTTATTTTCCTCTCTATATATGATTTTGTATGTGTTGAAAAATAAGTAAACTTTAAATCTGTTGTTCAGTGGGAGATAACTTCTTTTTTTTTTCCTTTCAGTCTGGCTCATAACCCAGGGAGTTCTTTGTAGAGCTAGGGGGGCTGTTTCAGAAACTATTTCAGCAAAAATAGATGTGGTTTCATAGGAGAACTTCAAAAGAAGATAATGTTACTGATGACTGAAATTTAGATGCTGTAATTAAAACAAATGCTATAAAAACTAAATCTGTATATTCAATCACTCTCTAAGCATTTTCCAAATTCCTTAGGTTTAGAGAAGACACAAGTTTCTGGGCCAGTGATTGCAAGACGCCCTTCTCAAGACATATATTCTCTTTTGAGATACTAACCTTTTTCTGCTTGTTGGTGACAGAATTGTTAGCTGCTATGAGCTTAGTTTATTCTTGTAATGCAATGGTGAGGACTCCTTTTGCAAGCTCTTCTAATCCTTCTAGTGTTTCCCCACCACAATGCTTCATAATCTGGTTTTCTAGTTCTCATTGTGGGCACCATGCTAGGTTTTTGGGGCTAGTAAAAATTTTTGTCATCTTTGTCGTACGCATAGCTAGTTGAGCTAACTTTCTCTAAACTGAACTTTATGTTGGATGATTATCTCTTAAGTTGGGGTCGGGACAAGTATTTTTGTTCAAAAAGAGGCAAATCACTTCTTTTCTATGCTTCTTTAATAAAAGGAAAGAGAACAATAAATATTGGATGATGATGAATCAAAGACAGCTTCCATGATGGGAAATTGTATTACAGTATGAAGAAAATATTCGTGAAATATTCCTAAAAATAGTAAGAATTTCCACATATGATAGTTAAAAAAATTGGGTCCTCTGTTAAACATCTGTCTTCTCTAACTTCAAGAAAAGTTATAAATAGGAAAAATGATATAAACTTCATTGGAAAGCAGTCTTCTATTCATCAGCTACAGCCAGCAATTTTGGAAAAATAGCCTTATAGCTGTTTTCTAATCACTGAAGTCTCAAGGGAGTTAGCTTCTCTTTTCTGTATCCAAACTTTGTGTCAGCCTCAGCAATTTTCTTTAGTTTACAATAAGGTGGTTCACTGTTTGGCTGAATATATGTCTTAAGTATTTGAAAACTGGCTTACACTCAGTGAATTTTTAACTTGCTATAAAAATATTTTACCGTGAAAGAAAATTGGCAAGTAGAAAATTGAGAGTATATAACACATAATCCAAAATTCATCTTCAATTTATATTTACATGGTCTAAAAGATATGATTTAATTTCTCAAAAGCTTGGCAGACAATTTAAATTTGTTACTTTCTTTCTATCACGATGGTAATATGATCACATATTGAGTATATTCACATTTCCAATAGAGCTAAAGCATAATCAGTACTGTAGAATTAGGTGCAAGCACCTTTGTATATGAAGCCTGGTGAGTCAGTAACGGTGCTGTGTTACTTTAATAGCTAGTGTTGATCTTTTAATAAAAGGAATGGGGAAGCAAAAGTGAGGCACATAGTTAGAACATGTTTAATATCAGTGGAGCAGACAAGTGAAGTCTGCCAAAACTTTGGAGGGGATTTAAAAAAAGCCAACTTGCTCAACACATTGAAAGTGTCGAGGGCTGTAATAAATTAATCAAATAATAGACCAGCAGCTGAATATTTATTTGCTGCTTCAAGGCCATATTTCATTTCAGATCTTCTTTGTGATTCTTAATACTGATGGTTAAGTGCAAGTACTGAATTTCATTTGCAGCCTGTAGATCACGGTGCATGGGATTTACCTGCTGCTTGCCGGTTGCATTTATAAAATTGCTGTAGATTTGTCTCTGTTATCTGTGAAGATAGTTTGTAGAGTGGAGTTGCCTGAAAAACAATATTCTACTCCCAGTATGTTTGCACATAATGCAAAATGATTAAATGATTGGATGTGCTGGTTAACAACAAAGGAATGTAAATGGATAAAGACGGTCAGAAAAGCAGAGCATATAGGACATGAGTCAGTGGGTATGTCTCATGAGAGATCTGGCCTGTCCTGTGAACTCTTACAGTAGAGTTACACCTACATATTCCTTACCTGGTGAGTATTTATGGTGCAGTACAGTACTGCGTAAGTGTGTCATCAAGATCTGAAATCTTGGCCACGCTGCTTCTGAATTCAAGGCAGCTTGCTCAGCCCAGCATATTGGGAAACAAAAGTGCTAGGAAATAAAGGTGTAAGAGTAACTTGTTATGGGGTTATGTGTGGCGGGGTCTTTTAACAAGTTTTGCTGAATATAAACTGCTGATTGCCTAGTCACTGGATAAGGCTTATCTTGTGAGTTAGATGCCCTTAGCATTGTTTCTTGCTAAACATCTAATGTACATGACAGCCTACTGCAATGTTTAAATAGTAATAAAATACCTGATGCATTTGCTAGCTAATAAATGCTGCTGTTGTATATCTGCTTTCTGAATTAAAGTGAGTAATGTAAAAATAAGATTTTAATTTCTAGAAAGATTATGCTTGACAAAATGTAGTTTGTCTTTACAGGATTATGTTGGCGAAACTCCTATTCATAAAGCAGCACGGTCTGGTAGTATGGATTCCATAAGTGCCCTTGTGGCTCATGGTGCGCAAATAGAGTAAGTGAGGTATTTTTTCTTGTTGTTGATTGTTGTCTGTTTAGCTAACTAACTTAGACCAGTAAACACAGATACTAATGTCAGAAAGAAAAGTAGACACCTGATTAAAAGATAGCTAGACATGTTCAACTGTAATGAAGCCCAAGATGTTTTGCATGTCTAGTAATATTATTTTACTTAGGTGATGACCAGTGTACTACATTGGTATTGCATTTATATCTGATAGATTAAAGTATTTTATCATGTTGCTGTCAGATGACCCCAAATTGTGCACTTTATCTAGTGTGTAGTTGTTTCTTACAACAAATTTACACCTTGCACTGGTGAATAAATATAGAAAACAATGCCAAAGCAACATTATGTGCAAAATAGCATCTCACACACTCTTCGCAGTTAGTTTAATACTGTTTGTTAGTATATTGTGTATTTGCCCTGTTAACTTTTTTCTTTGAAGGTTTATGTACTGCAAAAACATTCAGAAAATCTCACAAACTTTTGCAACTTACAGCATGGACAAAATGGATGCAGTTTTCACCTAGAAATGTTGAGTATAAGCTCTATGGCTTATAATAATGTAAATACTTTAGCAATTTGTTTTAATTAGAACTAGCCTTATTATTTTAAATGGTAACTAGTTACTGTATTTTAACCTGCAATATGAGACTTTTAAGTTGTAAGTGAAATAAGAATCATGTAGTTAATTTCTTGTTTTACCCTTTGGTTTCCATCTTACTGTTTTTTCTAACACTGCCCTGATAAATCTACCATAAAATACAACTCTTTCAATGGTATCATAGAGTATTCAGGAAATAAAGTGCTTTTTAAGATAATAGTAATGAACAAAATGCTTTATATGAAGAGATCGCTTCATAGAACAATGGCATTGAAATAACTCACGCAGCAGTCAGTTACTGACGTTCATGAAATCAGTCTTAAATTTGTAAATTCCCTTTTTGCACTCACTTTCAGATAATGTTAAACTTGGATTTAAATTTACTGTGGAATTGAGCCAACCTTAATTATCATCATCAATTAGTATGTAATCTTGTGATTTTTACCAAGTATCCAATCAAAAGAGAAATTGTGGAACTGCATAAGCAATGTGGAATGAGTTAAGAGTCTGATGTAAAGAAGAGGACGTATTACATCCATAGGACTTTCAAAATAAGTAGCTGAGTGACTGAGGTTTGAGATGTGGCTGCAACTTTAACTTACAGAACAACAATTTTGCTTTTAAAACATCATATTTGCAAGCCATAGGCAAAACATTTCTGTAAAACTTGGAGAGTGTTATCTGCCTTTGACCAAAGCTATTTGCAGCAGAAGTAGCGTAGGTTTATAGCAGTTTTAGTGAACAGGAAATAATTTGAATTCTCAGTTTTCTAATTTTGAACTCCATCTGTGTTTTAGTAGGATAGACTTGTCGCAAATTCTGTAGGTAATTAGATACCAGATCCTATCCAGGCAATGGTAAAATCAGGAATGCAAACACGGTAGGCTGGTGGAGCAACCCTTGTTTGGTCATTTAGAGGATTAGGACTTGGCCCTGTCACCTGAAAGGGCTAGCTATTGACTGATAGGAGCGAGGATTTTTTTTCCATAGAATCTAGTTCCTAGGCTCAGTATGTTAAATTAGGCTAAATCCATGTATATACTTTTGACATTGATTAATTCTGGGTTATCTGAGTGTGAAAACTGGCCCCGTATATCTAACCATTACGTTGATTTCCTGATTTTTGTAACATCTTGAGAATGTAGATGCTTTGAAAGTCCTGACTCCTTTATTTTATGGCTTCAGTTAGAAGAAAAGGAGTGGGATTTTATCAATATATTTGGGTTCTAATTTATATGTATTAACTGAAATAGTGATTTACTATATGGGACCAAGGGAAGAATTTTATTAAACACAGAACTAAGCACTAACTATAACTAAAGTGCTGATCTTTACTGATGGTGATGTGGCCTTTTTATGGGGATTAGATCTTCTGATCCAATTTTTTCTTACTTTTTCATACAGTTAAAGTATCAAAATCTAGTTACGTGAAGATGGAGAGAATATCCCTTATAACTGCAAATAGTCAAATATGCTGCTTATACATGATACTTCTAGTATAAATCAATTATTGCACCATCCCTAGTATTTATCGAAAGCAGAACAGGGATGTTAAGATTTCATTATTACACAAACACTAGTAACCAGTAGTGTAATATTGCAAAATACGTGGTTTTTATTAATGAGTGATTATTGAAATACTGCTGTTAAAATGAAGTAACTTGGACTAGTGTAATCTTTTATGTCAGTGTTTACTGTATTTCTACTTTATTCACTCCTTTGGTTATACTGGAAGCCAAAGAATAGTAACAATAGTCCAGTAAGGATGAAAGTAAGAATTTTAGTTTGAATAAAATTGCCTTGCTTGAATTATTCTAGTTTACTTCAGGCTTGTTAGTGTATTGCTTTTACAGAGAAATGATAGTATGTTGCAGTCTCTAAATTTCATGAAGTTGTTGCATTGTTTTCCTAATTGATGAGAGAGAATTTGGGTCTCTATTCCTTTGTAAATTTTTAATAATAATTTTTAAAATAATAATTGTACCCTAGTGAAAATATTTTGATTTTTTTTGTGGTATTTACCTTCTCATTTTAGCTGAAGCATATTCTGTGCACAGTATGTTCTACAGCCATAAAAATGGTTGCTCCACTAACTATGGTATTCATGGACCCTTGAAGAGGGGGAAGCAGGTGGTCACAATGTCCTCATATGAGTGAAAAGGTTTGCTGTGTAACTGACTTTTTAATGTGGATAGTACCTTTTAAAGTATCCATAGTAACTGCTGGATTTTCACTAAAAAGCATAATTATGCGATTTATGTCTGCTTAATTGTGTATTATTTATCATGGTGACACACAAGTGTCCACAGCTCTTTTTGGAGGAAAAGCCTTCTTGGTGCCATGTTTTGTTTTGCTCTTTTACACTAATTGTTGAAATGCTGGGTGTTAATATAGTTACATGGATTGCATCACAGCATATATAAAAATATAAAATTCAGCTATAAACACAGGACACTGCTGAATCAAAAATACAATATGCAGATGCAGCTGTTAATTATACAGATTTGAACTTTCTTCTTCCGTTTCACATCCATTTTCATGCAGTTCACTTGTGCATTGTGTCCAGTTATTTCTGAATAAAAGTTATTCTGCAACTGTCCTTTGAACAGTTGTGTATTCCTTAGTGTCTTGATTTAAATCGAGCTAGGAGAGAAGTTTCACTGTATTATCCTGGGATAGAAAGAGATGAAAAGGACAAGAAGTGTGGGACAAGATGTGGCTTGGTGTGCATCCATCCAATTGAACACAAGTACTTGCTTGTACTTTTTGTTGGTCAAGATACTTGAATAGTAGCAGAGGAAAGTTTTTGTTATTGGCCTGACAGAAATCTTAAGGTTTTGAGGAAAATGGATTTGCGTAGTGTGATGGGATGCTACAAGACCTTGAAGAGATACTTTCCTTTCTGGTTTCTTGTATTCTGGTCTCCAAGTTTGGGGAGAATAACTGACGTGCTAGGATAAATGTACCAGTACATCTGTTTCTACCAGATGACATATTCATATTGTGATGTTGATCTAGTTTAGGCAGACACTTCAGCCACTTTCTCATTAAAGCTGTCTTGCATTCATTTTAATGTGTAAATTCACTGCTTCTGTAATGCCAGAAACATCCCATATCTGGTCTTTAGTTTTTCAGCATCAACTTTATTCTCGTTCTTTGGCAGTGGCTTAATTTTGATTCTTCTTTGCAAATTCATGTGTCATGAACTGTACTGTGTTGTTTAAAAAAAGCATCATTAATTTCTATTTTTCTTCACAACTGCTCTTCGTTTTCCGTAACAGAAATCTGTCCAATGTGAGGTTTTTTTTAGGGCCACCGGATTAGCCCTTTGTGAAATTCTTGTAGTACATTTCTGTTTGAAGTGTGTTTCACATTCTAATTATCGCTCCTGTGATATCTCAGCTTTTGTTCTTCTCATTTATACTTTTGAGACTTCTTGACTTCCTGAAATTAGTGAAGAGACAGAACAAGAGTGATGCGTAGGTTTCATGATGATAGTACAGAAATCAGCCCTTCCTGTGTGTCTTAAACCCTCCGATCATTTTCATTCTGGAGGGGAACCTCGCATGGCCTGTTCTCTTGAAGAGTCTCAGGGGTCAGAGATCTCTTACATTTCTGGATTTCTTCCTGGTTTCTTAAAATCTTAGCAGATGCTTACAGGTGTTTTTAATGCTTGCTTGTTTTTCTTGCCTGGCTAATCTAACTACGAAGCTTCTAGTATTGAGCTTGTGCTTGTGAAGTGCCATTACTATTTCATCTTTTTGCTTCAGAACCTCTACTGCTACGTTGATTCAGTGTAAAAGAATCAACACCCTGCTTTCTTATTAACCTCATCTTGAGAATAGTGCTTCAGGTTCTTGTTAATTATTTATTTAGGAATAGGATTTAGTTACTTTTTCAACAGTGTGGTTCTTACCTGTTAATTAGTATATTAATATTGGTATAATCACTTGGATGCTTTTTAAACTCTAACCACTTCATACACGATCCTTTTTGCAAACCGCGTTGTCTGCTCTCCAGATCACAGTTAAACTGCTGGATTAGCTACTGTTGTTGCATTATTAGACAGTGCAGTATCAATGAGGAAAAAATGTGGCTGTTCTTCTTTCATTGTATATAACAAGTGTTTTAAGGGCTGCTGCTGTAGTGTTCTTCTAGTGACCATTCTGCTGTGTGGAGGTGACAGGTGTTGGAATTCATTTTTCCTTTCCTGCCTTATGTAAATTCTTATGGAAGGGCAAAGTGGTTTGTACATTTCAGTGGTGAAACTCTTAATTCTTCTGCAAATTAATTACAAGTAAAACTTGCTAATTTCTCCAATGTTTGTTTTCAGGCTTGATTGCCATCATTGTAGAAGAACTTAACGTGGTTTGTAGGAGATTGTGAC